GAACAGAGCCAGGACTTGAATGTAGCAGACAGAAACGGCTCAGGGCAGCTTTGCTATCGGATGAACCCCCAGGAGTGCGCTGTCCCCAGAGCCAGCTGTGCTGGGAAACAGAGTCATCTCACCCCACCCCAGGCAATGCATCTGTTCTCTTCCGAGCTAGACCAAACTGTTTCAGTCCGCGCACCACAAGGACTCTTCCAAAAGTACCTCAGAGAAATTCTACCTACTAACTCTTTATGGCTTTGCTAAGAGCAAGATGCAAAAATAGAGCATGGGGTAGAACTCTGAGAAACCTTTTTTATAAATAAGCCCTTGACAGCCAGAAAAGTGATTAGGAGACACTGCTTAACTTTCCACAACCCTCTCATGACCTAGACATTTGAGTCCAGCATAATTTTTTTCTACGATCAAGTAATGAAGACGTTGTACACAGCATGCACCTCTGATCCCATACTCAAAAAACTACTGCCTCTTCTCACAACATGGATGCAGACTCTTACATGTCCATCACCACACACTGCAGTCAGTACCATTATGCTTATCTGCAAGTTTGCTGTACCTGCAGAAGGGTATCCTTACGGGACAATGTTCACTCATTGCTTTTCTCTAGAGAGCGGAGCTTTGTATTTATTTAGGCAAATCCTTGGTACTCATCACTAGGAGAACAACATTAAATCCTTGCTTTATTGTTCTAACTGCTATTTCACTGTTGTTATGCATAAGTTTAGCAAGAGCCATTAGAATCCCTCATCCTATTGTGTCATGCTGAATACTAGAGCATCTTCATATATCTAAATCTAAATTGTTCCCGGTAAATTGAAAAAAGAGCAACTGCAATAAGATACAGACTAAATAAGGATGTCAGAGATTTTTGCATAGGTATAAAATATAAGTAATCTGCCTCACCATACAGCACACACACAAAAAACGCCTGTTGTCCGTAGTGTGCCAACAAACAGATGAAGTAAACTTTGAATTTATCCAATTTTCTTTCTGTTATGAGAAGGTTGAAAGCATGACATCGATCAGACAAAAACTTACCACCTTATGTCTATGTAACATGTTTGCAACAAATCAGCTCTCAAGTGGTATAAATTCAGAGGGATTTATAGACAGAGATGACATGATCGGTATACAGAAACTTTTGGTAGAATAACCAGTAGCTGGAGAACCTTGTTAAATGAGATTGTAAGCCAGTATGTGGGCTGCATGCAAACTAGCTTGTAAGAGTAGCTCCTGTACAGCGCAGGAGCCAGGCTGCTGTCTAAAATGCTTCAGAGGTCCACACACAAAGATGCAGCATATTGCCACCCATGCATGACCAGATTTTTATGGAAATACAACATAGTTGTGGGGAACGAGATACTGTTTCATTAATGACTTAACGCATAGTAGAACCTTGTCTGTTAGCTACACTGGAATAATAAAATAATGAATATTTTAATATGTTTTCCTACATTCATACACTAATTTCTTTAGACTAAACAGTTAATTCAGTACTTGTGTTTAATTTAAGCCTTGGTTTCCTACACGTAGCCTCCTTGGATTTTTCCATTATGGTTCTGAATATTTTTCTGTTACTTTAACCATCTAAGCAGCAGCACTAATTACTTTAATTAAATGTAATCAGGCATTAATATTGCATAATATCTCCATCCACTAGGTAACTTAGGTGTGCAGTCTTAGGTCAGTCATGCTTCATTAACCTTCAGTTGAAACATAAGCAAAGTCATTCTGATCACTGGGATAAGTTTACCATTGTTGCACTTTCTTTTTGTCTAACCACATATAACAGAGCTAGCAACAGTCAGTCATCCTTCATTAACCTTCAGTTGAAAGAAGCAAAGTCATTCTGATCACTGGGATAAGTTTACCATTGTTGCACTTTCTTTTTGTCTAACCACATATAACAGAGCTAGCAACAAGCATGTATTGGAGAGATTCTTAAGCACAAGCTTCCTAGGCATTTAGAAAGAAATCAAAGATCGCAACACAGACTTACGTGTCTGGGTGACAAGTCTAACCTTTGCAGTGCAACATCATAATATTGGAGCTCCACCTTCTTGACTTTCTGGTGATAGGCTCATGTGACGACGGGCATTGCACAGAATGCAAGGTTTCCCTGTCAAAACCAGAAATAACATTATAAAACATCCCCTCATAGCAGCTGTTTTCAAGTGCAGCATTTCTGGGACAATCCCAGTTACATCATAAATTCTTTAACTAATATGAACTTGAAGATAATGGACTGACCTGTTTGGCTTGCCATTTTATTGCACTTACCATGTCTAGTTTGTTTATTTTTAAAAAGCTTGCTAAAGAAGTGTTTTTACCAACGCTAAGAGTATTTCTGCCCAAAAGATTTTTTTTTAGTAATACTAGAAAACATCCAAGCAACAGATTTACCTTTTAATATTTTCCCTCTTGAACCTACAACTCTACAGTTTCATCATTATCAGAGGGATTTATCAAGGGAAACCAGGCTCTCTCAATTAACCTAAACTTTTATTTTAGTCCGCTGCATGAAGAGGGATTTTCCCTCTGACAAAAACTGAAATGAGATCCTATGATATTTCTGTTAAGGAAAAGCACAAATAATTAAGTGTGCTCTGTTTTATTTTTAATTGCACTACTTTACTTTATTAAATTTCAAAGCATTAGCACTATCATTTAGCTTACTCTAGGAACTTCTATAGTCTTGCAAGTCTTCCACTGGAAGTGGGAATTGACTCATAGTGTAAATAGAGAAGCCAAATACAGTTTTAAGACCATACTGCCTCTTCATTTTTCTGATCACACAAAGCTTCGCTTATTTTGCTTCCATCTGACCTTCTATGGAGCAGTTGCACACAGGGTTTATTATTCACATAAAAGATGACTGACATAATTTGATGTGAGCATCTGCAACTCTAGCCATTTTGGGTGCTATTCCTGGATCTTTGCTTTCCCAGAGCCATAGAGCATTACACTATCATCTCTCCTTATAGATTTCATGCAGTACCTAAGAGTAGTTACCCATTTTGGGCATTGCATGTTAGCTGATTTGATTGTCCATGTCAGGTGTTAAGAAAAGATATTTCACCAGTGAATTTAAGGTATTAGTAGCACATGTTCACTTCAAAACTGTATGCAAGGAAATTTAAGCTTTGCTAGCTGTAACATGTCAATTATGGCTGTACCACTTGGATCCCTTCAGGGCTGTTTGAGTTCACCTGCATGTGTAGCACCTGTAGATACAAAGACAGGCTAGCACAAAGGAAGAAAATGGAGTTTTCAGCTATTTTGTAATAAAAGTAACATATGTGAACAATAGCTTATGAACTACTAGAACAGGCAGATACTCAACCACTGTAAAATACTTACTATCACTTCTGTGTAGACACTCATACTGAAGTTTTGCTGTGCAAGCCATAGCCTAAAAAGAACCCTAAAGTTTATCTACTTTCATAGAGAAGTTACATGAAGCTATATATATAAACATATATTTTACATCTAAGTATGCTCAGACTTTGAGGGCAAAAAGAACCAACTTGTTCTATAAAACATGATAGGAAACACTCACCAAGATCAGCCCTTTTCCTAAGGCTACACTGCTCAGAAGATATTTTCCATGTCTCCCCTCCAAGGAATATCTTCCCATTGGGTTAAGTCTACTACAAATGTGAAGTTCAAACCCAGCTAAAACTCTGTGTGGCTCCCACCATAGTAGCTACCATAGTAGCCAAAAACTGGAAGCAGAAGCAAGCATTCACACTGCAAAATCCTGCATACAACTAGCTACAGCAACCAAAAAGCTTTTTATAGGCAGCTGATGGGTTGTTCTCAGCTCCACCCTCTGGGCAAAACACCTGTGCTCCTGCCCCAGGGACTCAGCCAAGTGCTCCTTCCCCCGGTCTGGGTTTGTAGACTATCACACACAGTTTGTAGATTAGAAAAATGCTTTGAGGCTCAAAGGTTATAAAAACTTTTAACAACATGTAAAAAGAAAAAAATAAAGCCAAAAAAGGCATCAACATCTGGGCCTGTGAAATTTCCACCTGCTACACAGAACTACAGAATAATTCTGATAAAGTCAAAGTTGCATTATATACTTTAGATAGGGGCAAAGTGTGCAGACACAAATCTAAATGTGTCCTTTGTGTATCTTGTTAGTTCTGCTTTACTCATTTAGTCAGAATTTTTTTCAGCATCCAAAGAGAAGTTCAGATCTTGTCTGTAAATTACAGATTAGATACAATATAACCTTCAGCCTGTAGATACCTGATAAGAAGCAGTATATAGTTACATCACATTTTTTGCAATTAGGGGTACAGAAGGTAAGTCAGCTTGTCAAAAATCAGGGGTTCCTCCATGTTCTAAGCCATTGAAGGTACAGGAAAGGAGCTATCCTTCGCCACCAGAGCAGGGCTTTTCCAACAAGATTTTTTTTAGATCAAAACTTTGACTAAAGAAAGCTTTGGGTGAGTGGAACAGAAATTAGTAGAACCTGTCTAGAGAGCAGGCCTGTTCTCTGGGATCATAATGTCTGAGTTTCTCTCATAATATTCTGTGGTTATTAATGAAATGAATTTTTCTAAATATGATGACTTTTTAAAAAGTTGAGTAGAATGGAATGGTTTCAGTCCAAGGACAAATTGAATGTATGCAAAATTAGCATAAAGACTAATGAGTCACATTGTTATTGCTCAGTAAATATTCTATAATACTAACAGCAAAGGAGCTATTTATAATTGAATCTGGGATTATATCTAGGTACTTTTAAAAGAGAAAAAAAAACTCAGCCTTCGTTCCTGAAACAAAACTATATGAAATAATATATTTTGGTCTTTTTGTGTGAAGTTTTAAATTTCAAGTGCTAGAAGAATTTGACTATTTTCAGTTTCACCATGTGTGTGCAGACAATATGATAAGTTTAGTTATCTGGCTATCTATCTGCTTTGTCCATATTTCTCTAGTCTTTCCAGACTTTTCTTAAACTTGCACTTTTTTATATTTTGCAGTTCCCTCCTTTTGGGGTTTGGTGAACTCAGCTTGGAATCTTTGCTCTGTTGGGAAAAGACAGTCACCTGTCAATATTGAAACCAGCCATATGATATTTGATCCCTTCTTAACTCCACTTCGCATAAACACAGGGGGAAGAAAGGTATGTGTTCTATCATGTTCTGGTATAAAAACAAGAAGTTAGTAGACTTACAAACAGTTGCTGTATTTTACATTTCTAAAGCATTTACACTTTTATGTCGGTCAGCTCTGAGGCAGAATAACAGCGTAGTGCTTTGCAAATCATACAATTTCATCACTGCTGGAGAGATAGCAACTGTACATTTTTAGGTGTCTTATTTCATCACTGCTGGAGAGATAGCAACTGTACATTTTTAGGTGTCTTCTAGCATATATTTATATTTTTATATTAACTGTTACTTGAAACTCTGCTGTCTGGAAGAATAGCATCTCACTTAGAAACTCCACATTTATAATTAAATTTGGTGTTCATCCTGAGTTGCGTTTTAAAGGTGGTGTTCTGAAAGTGTCATTTAAGATGGCTAAGACCTTCTTTTAGTCATCTAAATCAGGATAACATTGCAGTACCATCACATTAAGGGAGAGGACGGGATGAATGAGCCTCTTTATGTTATGAAATAAAAGGAGCTATGAAATACATATCTCAGCATGGGACAGGCAGACAGATGTGTTCAAAAAGTAATTTAGTTTCTGTGTTATCTAGAGCATATTGGCACTCACTGTAAGATTTTTTTATTGGACATCTCCTCACATACATTGATTAGAAAACAGAATGGCAACATTTATTTTAACAGGTCATAAGTAAACCTCCAAGGATATTGGATCAGGTGGAAATGATGGGTTAGCAAAGACTATCTTACCTATCTAAAATCAGCATGATAATTTCTTGTTGAAAAGTGACTGCCACAGCTGACTGGTTTATTAACCGTTATTTCTGACCGATAATATTTTTTAAATGATGTATATAGAAATCTTACCTTGTTTACCCAGATTTGGAAAGTGTATCTATCTTAATAAACTGAGGTATGAAAGCAGAATAATTCTGGGTTAGGTAATGTGCCAATTCCTGTGGCTCAGGAACCTCCACTTCTAGGCTAGTCCATGTAGATTAAAGGTGGAGGCAGGAAGGATTCCTGACAAAATGATGCTCTACAAATGGGTGGAGATTGTTGTCTGAGGTATGTGTACATACAGAAATACTGCTGATAGATGCTAATCAGTGATCATATCCTCCTCTTTTTATAGTGTATCTGAGTTATGTTGGGGGCTAAAATTTGGACAAGGTTTCTGTTGTACTGAAAACCTTAAGTTCAGTAAATGTTTCTACAAGTTTTTGCAACTTGGATATTGAAGCATTTTGGTAATGCATGCATGTAAGTCAAAATAATTCACAAGAAATTATTTATGACTATGAATTTGAAAGACACGCAAGCATGTGCATTTGTGCTTGCTGACCCAGAATCGAAACTGTTATATGTCAGTGTATACAGTGAAAACAATGCAGAAAGGTAACAAATCTAAACAATGAAAGCAGATTTGGATCCCAAGCATGTTTCACTTTTAATAATCTCATGCTCATATCAATAGCATGGTTAGGGACATTTTACATACATGGTTCTTAAAAGTATTTTCTGCATTGCTAAGGTTAGGTGCTAACTCATTCTTTCCACTTACATTTACTAAAATAATTATACTTACTAAAAATTAGGAGTACAGACAAATTTTAGAATATAGTACCAAAAAAAATTCTGAGATCTACTTGGTTCCTAAATTACCATTCAAACAGAGGTAGTCATTTGAAAGGATTTCAAAAAACAAACTGAGCCTAATGATTATGCCTCATGATTTTTCTTTCACTAAAGAAATAAAGAAGTTTAAGGACAATGCTCAACTAAGTTATCAATTCTGTTTATCCAGCTGAAGGATTGATACTCTTGGAAATAGTCATTAGTGCATAATGTTTTTGTGTTACTTACCTTATTTGGGGGTGCTTAAAAGGGTATTTTAAAGATTTTGTTGCTTATTCCATGCAGGCAGTTCTCTTTTCTTCAATCTGTAATATAGAACAATGCAGATGAAAAGGCATTGTGACTTACAATATCGGAATAAGCAGAGATTCTAACAAAAGGTTATTCTAAAATGATTTATCTTCTCCTGTTGTCTTGACAAATGAGATTTCTGCTGGAAACAGCATGAGATGTTAGGTATTTGCTCTGTACTTCCCATTGAGGTTCTGGTGGTACATGTGCACATACATCAGAATCGATGAAAGCTTCATTACAGAAATGATAAAATGGTGGTATTGTTACTGTCTGAAGGACAATCATGCTTCCAACTATGGCCCAAAGTTCAGGGTAATATGTACATTTTGCTTCTTAAACAGAAATGCATTGAGGTTTGTCATTTTGATACAAAAAAGAGTTTTATTGACTCTGCTATTTATGTAAAGGCTGGCATATTTCAGATTATTTATAAATTATAGTATGACATAATATGAAAGTCAAGAACAAAATTACATGGAAGTTGTCAGTAAGTAGAAGCCAGGAGTTTCAGAATATTTAATGTCTTTAGTAATTCTAAGAATTGAACTGGTTTTTTATACCAGCTCAGGGTGAAGCAAATATCTGATTACTAATAAAATATCGGAGGTACCGATAACCTGGAAGATGCTATATCAGTAATGAGGTGTTCTTACCACACTCACAAATATCCTGCTGCCGCCAAACAGTGACCGCCTTCTGTCACGTTACAAGAACAGGATTTATTCTAGTTATGGTTTGTCTGTTTTAGAGAGGTTTCTAAAATGGTTGAATCAAAATTCTCCTTTCAGGAAAAGACTGCAATTTTAATTCTGCCTTAAAATTCTTTGCTCATAGTTGAGGCTTCAGCGAGGATTTGATTTGGCAGGTAGTATATTTGTGTTCACTTTTTTGGTAATGTTTTTTTATATGTTAAAAGTGGAGGTATGTTTCATATGGGCTGAAGCACTTCAGTTTTCAGGGCAATGAACCAATTGATATAGCAGCCAGGGAATTTCTTGGACAAGACTTAACTGTAATTATGCTGTACATGAAAGGATTTTATGGAACTCATCCTAAGAAAAATGATGAATAAATAAAAAAGGGATTTGATATGGTTCCAAATCAAAGTTATAATAAGCTAGCTTACATGCATAGTGAACGAGAGAGACAGCTAGTTGCACAGAGTCAAAATTATACACCTCTTTTGAAAAGGGAGCTGGGAGGAGAGGCAAGCCTTAAGAGAGAGCTAGGTGGAAGGAAACATTCAGTACAGTTAGTCTTGGAACCATAACTTCAAATTTTTAATAAAAATTTTTGCTATTAAAGTAGAAATCAGTTTTATTTAAGTTTGAAAACTCAAATATTTATTTGAATTTGAAAACAACATTTCTACTTTGTGTGCTTCAGTTTTGAAATGAAGAAGGAACAGAAGTGATTCACCCACAGGAACAGAATCCAAGACCAGTTTAGAGAAATTCAAATAACACATACCTGGGTGATATGATCACTGACTTAATACTTCCTCTGAATTCTTTCCTTACCACTCCTTTCTCTTGGGCCTTTATTTTTAGAGGGTGGGGAGCATTGCTTAATTTCTGTAAACCAGTTACCTGTTTAGTTCTCAATTTCTACCTCAGCAGACCAAAACTGTTCCAAACCATTCCATTACAGAATTTATGACTAAAGATTCCACCGTAAGTAAATACCTTTCTAGCCAGTTCCATTAGAGACTTTATTTTGTTTCAGTATTAGTAATGCAAGGCATTTTAGTAAACCAGATGGAGACTTTCTTACAATTTGTTAGACCACCTGGGAATGAAATAGCAATTTTCTTGTTCGTAAAGAAAAAGAATGGTCTGAAAGGAGAGTATGAAGGACAACATCACTCTCTTCCCACCCTGCACCCTACAAGGGGAGAATAGTACAGTCTGTGGCCTGCGATCTGAGGCTGAGAAAAAAATTCTTCTCATTCCATTCAGGAGCAATAGGGATGGCAATGCAATTTGCCAAATATTTGTACCTCTTTGATCCAATTTTTCCAATAAAGTTCCAGTGAGCAATAATATATTGTTTTATGTGCTGCCCAACGATTGCAGTGTGGTACCGGGTCATGTGATTTACAATTCAAGCATCATCAGATGTTGTTCTGAATTGTGCTGTGTTATTTTGTGTTTGTGTTTCTCCGTTTCCTGAGAAGGAGGCTTTTTAGGTCCTGAAGGCTGAATATCATTGATACAGGTAATTGGATTTGAAGATCCAGAATCTCAGCACAAGACAGTTAATGAGTTTACATGCAGATAAATTCCCCAGAAGAAATGGTGCTTTTGAGGAAACTCCCCAAGTTTCAGTTCTCTCTCAGGCCCAGCTTTGTCTCTTCATTATCCATTTTAGTGAATTTAACATGCAGCCCATTTCAGATAAACAGCCCTTTTTAATAAACAGTACAAACCATTATTAATATGCAAATCACACTCCTCCACTCTGTCACAAAAGAAGGCACCATTTATAAGCACCAAGGCAATCAGCCACAGGACAACACAGTAACTTTACTGAGAAGCCAGTGTAGTCTAGTGACATTTAGGCAGCAAGCACTATGGGTTTCAGTCTCCAAAGCAGGGATTTCCAGACTATCATGGGTGATAGGAGCAGATGAGCAAACCTCTACTCACCAGTGCTGGCAGTTTCTCTTCTCCAAGAGCTCTTCCTTTGGTCCTCCCAAATTTGTCTCCTGAGTTACCTGTAGCCCAGCTGCCTTTGATGTCCTGATTCTTTGTGGACTTAATTTCAAGAGCTCTATTTCCAAGGTTCTTTAAGAATGAAATACAGTTCTTGGCCATACTTAGTTTTTTTCTCCTGAAAATGTGTTATGTAACAGCATTTACTTTAGACACTAAGTGCATCCCTGCCAATTAATTAAACCTTGTCACATAAGTGATGCTATGTCTTACTAATCATTTTAGGTCATGCTCAAGGACTTAAATTGTGGTTTAAAGCGGGTGAAGTTCTGGTTAAATCACTTTATTTTTAAGACAAAGGACATTGTACCTGATGTTGACCTCTGGGGAAATAAACAAATCGATGTCTGCTGGCCAAGAACTGT